TATATATATAAATTTAATATATTGACGATGTCTGTGTGTGTATATATGTTCATAGATGTTAATTACTGTGAATATAAAGACGATTTATCAGAATCAATTGTATCATGGGTTGACATTTATTTTCTTTATTCAGAAATTACAATTAAAATATGATGCAATGTTGTCTTTGGTGATTGTTTAATTTCCAAGTATATTAACGTTTATATGCGAGTGAGTCGATGACGAAGACTAGCTAAAAATACTTCGTAGAACGGCACTTTCTGAAGTTCGGTCCATTCACTCGACTTACTTTCACATAAGCCACATTCAATATGGCGGACGCTGTTACGTATAGCAACAACGGGATGACCCGCTCCATGAGGCGTCTACGTGTTCATGTCTGTGTTGCCAACCACCAAAAAGCCATTAGAAGAAGAAGAGACGCTGAATGAATCCCAGGACGAGTGAGTCAAAGAGAAAAAGTTGTATCTGGAGCCAATTTAGATGCGTTCGAAATACAGTTGCATAGTGCAACATTTGCAAAGTAAAACTCTCAACCTAAGTTGGCTTTCACAGGAAGTATTCTTCGGCATTTAAGACTTAAACATCCGACTGTTAAGCAGCAAGCGGTAATACAAGACCCTGCTCCCTTGACTCGGATTTGACAGCTCGATGAAATGATTTGCTCCAGTTCGTTCACTCGAATGATTCGAATCATTCACGAACGGTTGGTTCACGTGGATGCTCAGGGAGAGTAGCCGAAGCAGGCCATTAGAGAGTTCGAAAAGAACGTTTTTGCTTGAACTACGCCGGACTGTGATTAAGAAACCGAAATCAGGTGAATAAAGCAATCTCTGCCTTTGCTATACGCCATGTTTCTTTTATTTAAACGAGCTAAACACATTTGTATGATTTTTAATCTAATTAAAACAAATTCTCTCTCGCTGTCCTTAGATGCAGAAAGATTTACTGTCAGTGTATTACAGGGATTTGTCGGAATTGCTTGTTTAGATTATCGGGGTAGCAGTGCAGCGCTGGAGCATCATCAGTCTGCAGAGTTTGCTCCTCCTAACTAGCCGCGTTAGCACATTGTTATTAGCAATATAGCCGAGTGAAGCTTCATTAGACCGACTTGGCTAGCACGAAGAAACAGAACTAGGAGGTAGAAACTAGATTAGTTACTGAAACTCTCAAGAGCATTCATTGCAAGCAACTTCTTTGAGTTGGCACCAAAGCAGGGTCTCATCCCAGGATATGTGGGCTATTCGTCACAAATTTGGTGATGACTTTGTAGGTTTCTGGACTGCACAACATCTTGTTCAAGAAACCAGCTTGATATGATCTGAGCTTTATGACATGGTGCATTATCCTGCTGGAAGTATCATGCAGAAAATGGGTATAATGTGGCCATAAAGTAATGGATTGCATCAAAATCCATTACTCATTTGGCAAGAGTCGCACACTGTGCCAAGATAATATTCCCCCACACCATTGTACAACCACCCCTTCTACCTTTGATACCTGATAGATTGCATTTTTGCTTTCATGCATGTCTAATTCTGACTGTATTATCTGAATGTTTAAGCTCAAATCAAAGTTTTTCCAATTTGTTTTGTCCCAGTTTGGGTGAGCCTAAGGGTAAATGATAGCCTCACTTTCCCTTTCTTAGCTACTATGTAAGTAGGGCCTTATACAAAGCATCACCTTTTTTAACAGTGGAGATAATATGACATTTTCTGGCTGCAATATTGGTTTATCTGCATTTTCCTCAGATCAAAATGAACCCGGACGCACAACAGAGGATCGGCTTTATTGGTGCAGGAAACATGGCTTTTGGCATTGCAAAGGGGATGTTGTCAGGTTAGTGTAGACTTACTTGTTGAAATACTGAAACAATATTTGAGTGTTAATCTTCATGGTCATTTTTTTTTTGTATTGCAGGAAATGTTCTACCGGCAAACATCAAAGTTAGTGCACCATCCTCTACAAATTTAGGACGATTCCAGGTATTTATTTATTTCTGTAATTTATTTGTAAGGTAACTCAAGACGATGAGCAGCAACATTGAGGACATGCTACTGTTTCTAAATTTAGTTTAGTTTTGCTCTATGTTTTCACCTGCAAACCAGCTGCTGTGATGAATTCCTGCAGATGTGAACAGAGAAAAGCTTAATCAGTTATTCCAGCACACCTAACTCAGATTCTGAGTATTTTATCTGTCAGTTGTATGGATAATTGTGCTTGATAAATCTGTTGTTGAACTGGTAAAATGTTTTCAGGAACTTGGCATTTCTGTGACACACTCCAACACTGATGTGGTCTGTGTGTCAGACGTGGTGTTTGTCGCCGTCAAGCCTCATATGATTCCACGTGTTCTCGTTGAAGTCTCTCAGCACATCACAAAGAAACAGATAATCGTGTCGGTTGCCGCCGGAGTGACGCTAGCTATGTTGGAGGAGGTGAGGGCCACAGCCGCTGTAACAGGTTTTCACTATACAAGTTTGATCTGTCTGGGTATCAAATATCTTGAATCTTTTTTTATTTCTTTTTCATTTCAAGCTCCTCCCAGAAAACTCGATTGTCATCAGGCTGATGCCTAACCTTCCCTGTCTGGTTCAAGAGGGGGCCCTCTTGTTTGCACTGGGCACCAACGCAAAAGGGGAGGATGGCGCTCTACTTCTCAGCTTGTTGCATTGCTGTGGTTTGGTGGAGGAGGTGCCTGAGGCCTGGATCGATGTCCACACAGGGCTGAGCGGGAGCGGAGTCGCTTTTGTAAGTCTCGGCGTGTGTTCATATCTACACACTATGAATTATACAATTTTTTACACAAGCTTTTGCCAATGTCCCACAAGTAACAGTACCAGCTTAGACACATATCCATCATGTTAAATTTTCTTTGCCATTATTTATTAATCTATTTTGTTTGTTTTTTGCTGGGTTATTTTTATTTTTTTTGTCTAGGTGTATCTTTTTGCAGAAGCGCTGGCAGAAGGAGCTGTTAAAATGGGCATGCCAAGTGCTCTGGCTCACAGCATCGCATCCCAAACTGTTCTGGTGAGTCGTACAATATCTGCACTTTTGTTTTCCAAAAATGCTCTTGACTAGAAACCCATGTCCAAATTTAGTGTTTGATTATTTGTCATTTGCTGCAGGGTGCTGGGAAATTGCTACGCGATTCTGGGAAACATCCAGCTCAGCTTCGGGCTGAGGTCTGCACCCCGGGTGGAACAACCATCTACGGGCTTCACACACTGGAGCAGGGAGGCGTGAGGGCGTCTGTCATGAGTGCGGTGGAATCAGCCACTCAGAGAGCAAGGGAGCTTGGGAAAAAATAGGCAGCAGGAAGGGTCCGTGTGTCAGTATACCTTTTTAAGAACTACATCTTGAACTTTAACCATGGAAAGTCTTAAAAATAAGATGGCTGTTTTTTTTTTATTATTTATTTTTTTATATTTCATAACTTGATATTGTAATAATAAAAAAAAAATCATAATCTTGATTAAAAAAAAACACATCTTACACCTTCGTTGGATCTTTCAAAGGATGGACTTCTTATGTTTCACTTTGTGTGATGGTAAATAAAAGAAAATCTGTTGGATCACAAGTTTAATGTCTGCATTAACATGCAGAATAATCCTTCCCTTAAATGAGGGTAGATATGCATAATGAGATGTTCATAAATAAATAATATTGTGATAGAGAATAATTATATTTGCCTTACTGTTTTTCTAGATTGCTATGCGCTTGTAAGGTTGTGTTAGAGGAAAGTTGGTGGATGAATTAGCAGTACTCGCATAGCTCAGTCCCCGGCTAGTGAAACGGTCAGAGGTAATTTGATCCACGCAAACCATTGAATGGTATGTTGGCCTACATGCCAGCCTGCTACATGAAACGAGCACATGTAAAGTAAAAATATGAACCATTTTAAATTTACCAGCTCCTTGCAAACAGATATTTACATACAGAGATAATGTTTACCAAATGTTTAAAATTTGTAATATTTAATTGAAAATATCATAGTGAAAAATATAGAAAAAAGGAAAAAGAAATGTAACTTAAATCTTGCTGTCCAGTCATCCCTTTCCTGAAATATCGAATTACTCCAAACAGGAATCTGTTTTTAATTACGTTTCTTTTTCTTCCCAGTCATGATACAAAAGAAAGCACAATTAATGTATGTGTGCAAAAGCCATGAGAAAAACTGTCAAGAAATCAACCACTTTGTTCCTACATACATGTATGCAGATACAAAGATTCAGCAGCTTATACAGACTGCAGTTTTCACTGGAAGGTTTGACTCAGGATGCTGCATCTTCCTGTTAATCTGCCGATTTGTGAAGATGAGATGTGAATGTGTGTGCAGGGAATTGTTGTTTTAGTATTTAAAAAGAGGTCAAAACAGTTAGGGTAGTGTAATGATTTATTGTAAATTAATTTTAACTGGGCTTCACTATTGCCTTGTAGCAAGAAGGTACTGAGTTTGAATCTTAGCCTGGGGTCTTTCTGAGTGGAGTTTGCCTTGTCTTTCTGTGCATCCTCCATGGGTTTTCTTCAGGTACTCTCTCTTCCACCTACAGTCCATAACTGGTAGGTTAATTGGTGGCTATAAAGTTCTCAATAAAAGGTATGCATGTGTTTACAAGATTGTGTGTCTCTGCGTTGCCCTGTGATGGACTGGTGAGCTGTCCAGGGTACACCACATATCATCCAGTGATTGCAGGAGTTAGGCAGCATGGATGGATAGATAATTGTAATCCCATAAATATATTTCATACTTTTAATAGGTTCCAAATATGATGACAGCCTTTGCACTGCCCAACACTCAATCTTTCTAGCAGAGACCCTAGGCGGACTGGTCCCCCAGGCTGGAAATCACTTATATTAAGTGATTTATGAGTTGAAAAATACTAATACTTTCAATAATCTATCAGGGGCGCCATATTTGAGGGGAGAGGGCACAAAAAAGGAAAAACTACTTTTTTTTATATATAAATAGAACAAATATTTTAGGGCCCCTGGCAATAGCAAAATTAATGCAACTAAAATTCCCGGCGGCGTCCCTGGTGTCAGTAGTCGTTTTTGGATCAATTCAACCTGAGCATGTGGAGATATCAATGATTCACAAACATACCTCCCCTTTCCTCCAATTTCACACAAACGCTGCTGCTCCTTGCTTCTTCCTCCTCCTCTTCTTCCTTCCCGTTGTCACTCACTCGGCTGGAGAAACACGCGTTTTACCCACCGGCCTGCGGCTACACCGAAAAAAAGACAAAAACACAACAGTAAGTAACGATGACGCTGACTGACAGACAGGGTTCCAGTGTAGGGGATGCTGTCAGAACTTAACTGGACACTACTGGGTATTTATGGGGAAGAATTGTCGGTTATCGAAACTGATGTTAGCCAAGGCTAGCAGGTTGCTAGCTGGCACGCCTTCCGAATACCGGCGTGAATGGCCGCTGGTCCAGTTTTCTGTTCTTCTCTAAATGTCGGTATTGACATGAGAAAACGGGTATGTTTTATGACTTCAATTATTGTTTGAGTGGGAGACAATAACCATTAATCATCAGTGTTCACATCGACTTGACACTCTAAAAAATATGGCTAATGTTCAGGTTAGCAAGACGCATGATGATAGCCCTGATGAGGCTCTTTACTGCAGCAGAGGACAGACCTTTGTTCGTTTTGTAGGTACATATGTGTTTCAGTTTATAAAAACACGTTACATGTGCATCGGAATGGGTGTGATTCAGGTCAAAGCGCAATGTTGAGCTTTTACTTAAAAAATGTGGCTTAGAGCTGCTGAAAACCCAAAATTCAGTTTCTCTGAAAACTTGAAATTTACAAATGTCATTTGCTGCACAATCATGGTGAGTGAAGACTCATTACTTCACAGTTGAGTAAGAGATGGTTATTATCACTCTTAACGTTATTGCCAAGATCATTCATGGTAAGTTTAGTGGAAGGAAGAAGGCACCCAAGGAGCAGTGATAACCTTGATGGGAATGGAAAGGAGAACTGATTTAAGTATTTTGGGAAGATTCATAAGATGTCTACTGCACTTGGAGTCAGCATATCAATAATTGGTATACATAGATGTATTCAGGACATACCCAATGTTTTAGAGGATTTTGTGTGTTGATAATTAAGTTGCTGATTTCATCTACCAGCAGGGGTTAGCACCTGCCCATACTACTGATTTATTGACCATGCTGAATAATGACTGCTGGCTGTTTAATTTGTCAGCATTTTACCCAAATCCCATGGGAAATTGATATAGAATTGTCAAGAGGAAAACAGGCCAAAGATGTAGATAAGTTGAAGGCCAACAAGCTTCCTGTATTCATCAGCAGTTCCACATGCTGATTGCCTCTGTATCATGCTACATTGGTGAAGCTATTCATGCAAAAGGATCTCTGACAAAGTATTGCATATATATACTGTACACAGACATACTTTGTAGGCCAATGTCATCTTTATGTTTTTGAGAAATGTAATTTTGGGTTTTCATTAGCTCTAAGTCATATTCATCAAAATAAACATTTGAAATGCATCACCGTATTTAATGACTCGCTGCATTTAACATTTGAAATTTCTATTCTAATTTATTGAAATGTGTGTGTACACAGATGGACATTAATATTAAATGTGTCTTATATCAACATTTTATAAGGTGTTGAAATTCCTCTTTTTTCCCACCTTTTATCTTTTAATTGCTCAATTGCTGCTTCTTAGTAATCAGTGGCACAAGTGAAGTGCAAATATAATGAGTTGTTTCTTGGTTATGTTAATATATGCACTTCTAAACATAACATCTAACAAATGCTAATGAAGAGTATTAGTCAAGGTAAGCATATCATAAACAGGAATTACTCGTCTTGCACTGGTAAGTAATTGCAGCCGATTCCAAAATTAACTTGTCTGTTTGTTGAAACTCTGTTACACCCTAAACCTGCTGCTAAACATACAGTTCCCAGCAAGAACAAAGCAATGTTTGCTGATTAAAACAATAATAATACAAAAAAAAAAAAAAAACCCAGCTGGACATGACATTTGTAGCCTGAGTCGAGACATTATGTTCCTAAATATATTCCTGGAACTAGATTTTTGTAATGAACACCGTTTCAGATATCTTCTACAAGATCTCACAATGTTCAAATTTTATGATATTGACTATCTAATGAGGCCTAGCCAGTAGGGAGTTATGAAGAATAAATCATGAGAGAGCGGCGATCAAGACCTGAACAATATGCAAGCACTAGAAAGTTCAGATGCCGAAGGAGGCAGAAAGCATTGCTTCAAAGACCGATGGCTGGACGTCTAGAGTACGTCGAGCTACATCACAATCAGCTTGTCCAACTTAAAATGGTAAATGTTGTATTGCAGACCATACACAGTAGAAGGACTCTCTTAAGGTTTGAAGAGAATCAAAAAATCAGAAAAATACATCAGTTTGTATTTTTTGAAAAATTTATAAAAATGCCTAATAAAAGTCTGTGCAGCATACATTTGATGTGTGAAATTTTCTTGAAAGTAATATCTTCTCACGTTCTTATGAACTCAATATCGAGACACTCCTAAACTCTTTCTTTCAACTGAATGGTGTATGTGGATAATCTGAAAGTAATAGATTTTGGCTTGAGCATGACTTTAGCTTTAGTTTTTTTTTTTTTTTTTTACACATTTGCATGCCATATATTTGTTATTCAATTTACAAGGTGGTGATTGTTAAATTTCTCTTTCACTTGCTTGCGGTTAACTGGATGAAAAGAACGTGTTGAGAGGTTCACTTTGTTTAATAGCTTGACAGCTACAACTTTACCGAGGAAGGTGAGTTAAGAACATAAAAATCATATGTGAAACTCCTGAACTTTCCAAAATGGAATTACTGTTGGCTCCATATTAATGTTGTGTAAGTGAGTAAATGCCTAATTTTATTGTATAGTATAAAACAGCATGACTTGCATAATGTATAATTTATTACATGAACTTGCATGAACATTGTTTTTCTTTGGATGCCCTTATTTACATTGTTCATATAGTAACCTGTACAGTACCAGAAAGTGGATATAGCTTGCAGTTCTAAACCTTATGCAGTGTACACTAATAGTGTCCAGGCCCTATGGACTCTTCCACATTTTGTGATGTTTTAACCACATGCCGCTGTGTGTTTTATTGTGATTTTATGTGATAGACCAACCACTAAAATAGTGCAGAATTGTGAGTAGAAGAAAGTGTGTCTCCCCCCCCCCAATAGAACCAACTTTTGCTCCGGTATTAGCAGCAATGTCTCTTTTAGTTTTGCAATTTTAGGTTTTTCTTCTGCTTTCAGGCTCAGTGAGAAACCTAGTTCAAACAAATGAGTCATTAGCAGAACACTACAACTTGGGTACATGCTGCAGAGTTGCAGGACACTAGCACCCAAGGACTGAAGTTCAGTCTTCTGATATAAACTCTTCTGCTGACTGTATATTTAGTGGTGGTGTCCTGCCTCAATTTCCACTTTTCTGGAGTCTTTTTTTTTTTTTTTTAGATTTGCTTTGTATGTGGCTTTAACGCTGTTCTCATCAGCTCTGATCAGATTCTTTCACTGCTGAAGAACAGTAATTCCACAGAATGATGCTGTAACCAAAAATCTCAGTAAAATACACTGACGTTTGTGGTTTTAAAGTGACAATGTGGGAAGGTTCTAGGAGTCGTCACCCTTTGCATGTTAACTCTCCACTTTTTGAACTATGAGTTATTATAGTGCTCTGTGATTGCTTACTGCCATAATTCTGATCTGCCAATTCATACCCAAAATGAACACATTAGTCTGCATGCTGCTTGTTTTTTTGTTGAGGACTTGCCTGTGGATTCTTTCTAGTTTGCGTATACTTCCGTTACTTTGGAAAATATGCCATTGATGATCTGTCGCCTAAAAATGAACCTATCTTTCTCTTCCTGCCTTTGTAACTAACCCAAAAGCTTGTACCTGTTATTCTCTTTTTGTCCTACAATTGCTCTAAGATGTCCAAGAAGATCTCCCAGTGCTCTGTTAAGGACCAATCGGAGCATGATCAGCCTCCCAGCCAAAGTCAGTTGGATCAAACCAACCTGGGCTGTAAGAAAAAGACAGAACCAGGCCAGAGAAATGGAGAGACAACCTCTTCTTCTCCAGAGAGTGGTAGCTTGAATGGAAACGGAAAGCGCAGTGGGAAAAGCCGTCGCCGCAAGAAACGCTCATCTAATCCCGGGAGCCACCATGAGGGAAAGACGGATGAAGTGAAAAACAAAGAGAAGCCTGACGAACACACCAGCCAGTCGCCTGAGCAACCGGCTGCATTGATGGGCTTGCAATCGGAATGTGGCAGTGTGTGGTTTGAACGCAACATCTACGAACAAGCTGAGAGCCTCTACCAGTGCTGGCTAGTGAGCTCTGCTAACCGGATCTCCAAGCCCAACCGTTCACATCAGTCCTCAGGGAAACGTTCAAGCAATCCATCCACCGTGGCTCCATCTTCCTCTGGACCGGCTTGTCACCATGTTGATCAGGTGGCTTGCCACCACATAGTGGAGAAAGTATGGGTCAACAAGACGACTTTCGACCAAGCAGAGCGGCGCTTTGTTGAGGGATCTGCTCCCCCATCAGCTCCTAACTCCCTTGACCTCTCACCTCCAACTAACTGCTCCGGTGCCTCCAGAACACCCGATGAAGGGTATCAGTCTCAAGCCCCGACTCCAGCAACCCCTGTTGTCCAACAGGCAACTGGTACGCCGGCTTCTCGACAGTCTATTAACGGGCTGCCACGCATTCCAGTCGAGCTACTGAGGGAAGTGTGGCTCGACAAACCTGCGTACGATCGTGCCGAAGCAGCCTTTTACCAGAACCTGTATGCTAATAATTCCTCCAAGAGGCAAATCTGCACCCCCACCACCAGAGGAAGTGACCACCCTCAAAGCCTTATGGAAGAGGAAGAGGAGGACAGTGAGGACATGGCAGAAGAAGAGAAACCACTGATCCTGCAGTGTAAAGCAGAAGTCTTTCATGCCCTTCACCCGATTCAGGAGGAAGAAGAGCCAGCAGAGTCCCTTGAGACCGAAGAACCTTCTGGAGTGTGCTTCTTCCTTCACCCGGACAGCGAGCTGGTGTGGCTGGACAAGTGGCGGTACGATGCTGCAGAGAACCGTTTTCAAAGCCGTGGTTTGGATAAAGTCTGTGCGGAGAAGAAGAATCGGAGGCCGGAGGCAGAAAAGTCATCAGGGTCCTCAAAGATGCCTAAAAGGGACAAGTATGACCAAACCGGGGGAATGGAACCGCTCCAGATGTTTCAATTCATCGTTCATTACTTTTCATTATAATATTCCCGCCTTTCAAATTCTTTTTTTCTTCTTTCACCTTGTTTCTTTCATTCCTTCTAGATCATGTATTCATTTCTAATTGTTTTATTCTTTCTTTTCCTGAGTTCGACCAAAATTGATTTTTCTCCCACCATTTTCCTTTCAACATTTGTAGAGTTGTACTTGGGGTGTCTGGTTGTATGGAAGCAATATAAAATGTTTGAGTTCATACTTGATACATTCTAAATCATAAGTTTAATGTAGTTGTTCATTTTCTTATCCCCTGACATTTTTTGCCCTACATTCCTTTTTTTTTTTTTTTTTTTTTTTTTAGAAAAATGAGCTCAGTGGACTTCTTGGCTCAGGAGAAGATATGGTTTGAGAAGCCTCGTTATGATGAGGCGGAAAGACGCTTTTATGAGCGAATGAACGGCTCATCGCAAAACATACAGGTAATCCATTCAGACTGTTGATTTAGGTTTTTTTGAATCAATTTTCTATCTTTCCAACACCTCGTACGTCCTAAAGCTACAATTCTACCGTCCAGCCATTATAAAATGGTGATTGGGTGTTGCACAACGTTACAATTAAGTTCATTGCTAAATCATTATAATGCAAAACTCGTGAGTACAGCAAAAAAGTCAATCAGGTTGTGAAGAAGCAGAGTGTAAAGATGGGGCAGATTTGCTTTTATTTTAAGATACGTGTTGAGATGAAGACAATTGGTGCAGAAGCATTAAAGTTTTAAGTGGCACTTTCATCGTGAAACTGGCTTTAAAAGTGCACATCCAGCTCAGGTCTTTTCGTGTCTATCTTTTCATAGTAAAAGATTCTCAAATATTTCCTTGTTTTCATTGTAGGATGTTGGAGCTAATGCCATCCTGCAGGACATTGCTCGAGCTCGGGAGAACATCCAGAAATCTCTAGCCGGGGTAAGAACTGAGACAATTCCTAAGCTAAAACATTGAACCGGTCTGCCTTTGCAGTCATCACTTTTGAATGAAACAAATAAACCAGCCTTGTTGTTTGTTGTCAATGGTAAACTGTGCTCCCGTATTTATATTCATCAAATTTAAGAATAAAATGTATTCATGGAAATGTTTTGGATGTATATCCAGCTTTACTACTTGTAAAAGTTTAACATGTCCTACATCAAGGTGTATTGCTTCCAGTTTCAAAATGATGAAAAACAAACAAAATGTTTGGAGTTGAATACAGAAAGACACAGAGCAGATGAGAAAATACTCAGATGACGAGAGGAAATGTGCAGAGCTTACTGCCTCTGAAGGACAGATTGGATTTGACTCATGAAGCGTTTTCAAGGAGTTTCCAAGAGGCTTGGCTATTGGGTGCATTACTAAGGGAAAGTTCATGGTCATCTGACTGCCGGCTGTGTCAAGAAAGAAACACTTCCAACTCCAAGCCTTTATCTGGCAGAGTTTTGCAGAAGAGCAACTTTTCAGTCATTTGGTTTGAAAACAATCTGCTGAGGATTCTGCAGCAGCACGTCTCATTCAGCCAGACTGTTGCTGTAAAACTGGTCTGAAAAGGATCAAAGTGTGCTGAAAATAAACTTATTTTTAACATTTGTGATGACCATCTGATGATCGTCTATACCTCTGAGAAAAGTTGTTTCTTTGTCTGAGCAGATTTGAAAAGATAGGATTTGTTGATCTATTTCTCTGTTCCCTGCATGAACTATTTTCTTTTCTTCCAACTTGAAGCTTGGTTTTCCTTTGCTTTTAGACTCCCTCTCCTCATTGTTCTGTTTTTTTATGTAGCTCATGCAACTTCCCTCTGCCTCATTTCCATTTCCCTGCCCTGATTTCTTTCCTTGTTCCACCCTGCACTCCCCTCCTCCAAGCTGAAGAATACGCTGAGTAACAAAGGGTCTTCCCAGGCTTCCCTGACCCAACTGTCTCATCCTGTAAGTTTCTGAGTCTTGCATGTCGCTGGAAGCATCTGCTGCTGCTCTCAGCAGGTAGTCTGAGCAAGCAAAATTTGATCAATCTGATTGCAAATTCAGTTTGTGGATGACTTGCAAAGTGGTAGCACCTGCTTATCAGTGTTGTTTTTCTGCCTGTTTCCATACATACCCTGTTTCTCTCCAGTCTTTGTTTTGCAAAAGAGGCTGTCATGTCGAAAAACTTTAGTTTGAATAGTAACACATTTCTCTTTTTTTTTTGTTTTTCTTTTTTTTTTTTTTATGTTGTACCTCTGCAGAACTCCAGCAGCAGCAACAGCGGTGCAGGTGATCAGGGAGAAATTATTTCTCGCATCAAAAGCCTCGAATTAGAGAATCAGAGTTTATACAAAGGTTGGTTGTCATCCACAGTCATCAGTTTGCAGTTTCTTGTCTTTAATACTTGGAACCTTTTATGTTGCTACTTGTATAACTCTAGGGTTTATGCTGAATTAGGATTTGAGTCGCCACATTGAAAGCACATTTCTTTTACAGAAAACATGTTCTTTAAAAGATCAGCCATATATTTTAGAATCTGAAGACTTGTCATTTCATAATATATTTACCACAAATGACAAAATATATATATTTATATATCCAACCGACGAGCACACTTTGGAAGGCCCCGTTTAAATTTCTTCAGAAATGTTCTTGTTAATAAAAAAAAGTTTTTAACAAAGCCGTTTTAAGAGTTTTTGTGGCCTCTATACCTTAATTAGATCAGGATTTTAAATGGAACCTGTAGTTCTAAAACTGGTTTGGAATAAAATAATAAAAACATTAAAATTCCTTTTACAATGTTTCACAGTCTGGTTCTTTTAAAAGCTAAATGACAAGCAATATGACATTTCTTTTGACATAAGAACTAATTTAACTAGAATACAAATGTTTGACGTATTTTGCAAAACTTTGGTAATAAGAGTGATTAATATTTCATTTCAGCATGATATTTATGATTTTAACATCCCTACTTATTTATAGAGAATATCTGATGTTTGTAAGCCAAAGAAAGGATATGTTGATTTTGCTTTTTTTTTTTTTTTTTTTTTCATTATACATTTAACATTATCTAGATTATATTTGCAGAATTCCATAACTGGGATCTTGTTTTCAGTGGTAGACAACCTACGAGCAGCGCTCTCCAAACTGGAATGTCGAGTTGCTGTTCTTGAGAAACGTCCAGCATCAGTGACCCCGGCTCTTGCTGCCTCCGTCCCCTTCACAAATGTGAGTGGATGCTGACCGTTTGGTGATCTGTCATCAAAAAGTGCAAGTTCTCACTTAATTTCTCCAGGGCACTGGTGTCCAGCAGAAGGCCAGTGCCCCAGTTAAACAGGAGGAAGAAAACGACGACGATGATGAGGACGATATCGACCTGTTTGGTAGTGATGAAGACGAAGAAGCGGAGAAACTTAAAGAGCAGAGATTGAAGGAATATGCGGAGAAGAAGGCAAAAAAACCTGCTATCATCGCCAAGTCCTCCATATTACTGGATGTTAAGCCTGTAAGATTTTCTAAACTTCCCACCCTAAAATGCTCTTTATTTATAAAACACAGGCCAACTTCACGTTCTGTTTAACTTTGTTCTTTCCTGCTCGCCGTAGTGGGACGATGAGACGGACATGGCGAAGCTGGAGGAGTGCGTGCGCTCGGTGCAGGCAGACGGCTTGCTATGGGGAACATCTAAACTGGTTCCCGTGGGTTACGGCATCAAGAAGCTCCAGATCGCATGCGTGGTGGAGGACGACAAGGTGGGAACAGATTTGTTGGAGGAAGAGATCACCAAGTTTGAAGACTATGTAAGTACATGGATTTATTTTGTTACCAGTACTGTGTTTCAGTTCAGCTTACTTTCTAAACAGGTCTCAGGGCCAGGTAATGGTGACCCTCTATCCATTTAATCCATCTATAACGTGAAATTAAGCCTTTCATTTGGGGAGATTTCACCATATTAATTTTCAGTTAGAATATTTAACACCTGTAGTTTAAAATAAGTCAGTGTTTTCTTTACATTTCTGTTGGGTGGTCAGAGTTGAAATGGGCACTAATGAATCTTTCTTCACAAATTTTTCTCCAACTTGACTGAGCAGAATGATGAGCTGCAGTAAACATTTTCTAACCCAATTACTATAAACAGAAAGTTTCATAGGTTTCTGTGACCAAATCTGTCGCTGTGAATGTTTCAGTAAGGTTCATGCAACAGTTCAGTTCTTTTAATTCAACTTAAAGCCAGAAAAAAAAGACATTTACTCAGGTTTACCATCACAAAGCTAAAAATTGTTCGGTTTTTAGCTTTAAGATCAATTAAGATCAAAATGTGTCGATCTTAATTCAACACATTTTGAATTAAGATTAATATGGTGACCTTGTATTTTAAGGTGACAGTTTAGCTAATCTCAAGATTAGACATTTTGGGATCACAAAGCTGACTCGGCTCGTTAAGTCAGTGCCAAATTCAGACTGAATCTCTGCATAAACCGTGTTGCTAACTGTCTTTAAAATAAAAATTATTTCAGGAGTAAATCCAAAGTCGCCTTTAATTTCAAATACAATATTTATCTCTGGTGCATTAAACTATATTTGTTACCAGAAGGCTTGTAGGATGATTTTAAAACTGAAATCGGCAATTATTTTTGCATTTTGAGTCGTGGATGACGCAAAGAGCAAACTTCCACATTTTTATTAAGTTTACAGTTTTGATTGGTTCCATGTTTGCAGACAAGGCGTTTTACTTTAATAGTAACTGAGTCAGCTTCTTTCTTTCAATAGATTCTGTAATTAATACTGTTCAGCTACTAGTGGAAATTTGATACAAGTCAATACAACCAGCTGTATTAGTCCAGTGCTGCCATCATGTGGCCAAAATATCAAGTTTATCTATAAGCAATCTCTGCAGTTCACTGAATTGTTTTTTTGCTTTCCTACTTGTTTCAGGTTCAGAGTGTGGATGTAGCAGCTTTCAACAAAATCTGATTCAGCAGCAGCTCTTCATCACTCCCCGTTTCTCTGCTGATTGTGACAACGGTTGACAATAAAGCAATTCTTGCACTGACGTTATTGTGTTATGATAACGTAAGCAAATCAACAACTAATATTCCATTATAGCGTATATGAGCAGCACTCCAATCTAATGTCAACTATTTAAACTAAATACTAAAAGTTATGATCCTGCTACTCTGAGTAACCTGGGTTTACACTTGATTATTAGAACAATGTTTGAATATTGAAATCAGTTACTTTTTCCAACTATAATCTTTGTTATATCAATCTTCAGAAATTCTGTTTAATTCTTTATATAACCTATTTTTTCCTCAAACTGTTTTGGTAAATTTTATTCTTATTCGAACTGATCAACTGAAAACACGCATGAATGCACCATGTCATCAATGGTTAACAGTTCAGAAAGACAATAAAACTTAATTTATAGAATCCATGTTTTTTTGTTGCCACATGCATTTAATTAAATAAAATTTGAAGGACTAAAATTAGTTTAGGTTTACTTTAACTTTTACTTATGGGCTACAGAGTATAGGAGAGATTAATCATCTGAAACTAAACTTACGGATAGTTCATTTCTCAAAAGCAAATATTCATGCCAAAGTGTCAAAATGAAAGGTCTCTGGCACCATCATTTATGAACAAAATAATAAAAGTGCTTTGTCATGTTTTCAGGTTTAAATATTAGAAAATTTGTGCGATTTAAATTGCAACAATCCCATGATTTTGACATACTGGCTTTATTTTACAAGTTTGACACTCACCTCTGCTGTCTGCCTTTCGCTGCATGAGGTTACTGCTTTTCACTGAAACATTGAAACAGTAGTTATTCATTACTTATAAACACACCTAGAATAAAAAATGGACACATGACTGACTTACAGGAGACACTTTGGGGAAAAGTACCTGAATTGTAGAAGGAACTGCAGATTTTAGTCGTTATAAACCGGTTGGCTCACTGAGGCCTGATGAGCCACTTTATGACACTCCAGGAAGTCTATCGGCTCCTGTTGCTATCCTCTGCTGCTCTGGCCCTCCACTGTAGGAAAGGCTACACATTCTAGCTAAATGCTTTATGCATTTCTCTATTGATTTTGAGGTGAATGAGTCTAAAAGCATCAGCAGAAAATGTATTTTCCATCCAAGGATCACAAACTGGCATCTCAAAGCTTCTGGAGCATCTTGGTGTCTGCCACAGGAGGCGTCTCTGCACTGTGGGGAGCTGCAGACCCTCTGTTCATCCCAGTTCTGCATCTCATCTATATATATGTGGTAACATGAGCCAATCCACTTTCTGCAGATGCTGTACATCTGCTGAAAATTAACCAGTCACGTTTTAAATAAACAAAAAGCTTGAGCACGCTTCTGTCTACTGCTATGCTGCTCATGTTAAAGCAGAACATACGTTACTACATTAATATTCTGACAAAATCTCTTGAGCTTGACTACTTGGCAGCAGAAGAATGTAATCCACTAACCTGACGTTTGGCGTTTTTCTGTGGAAAGGTGTGCCTCTGTGAGCTGGAGGAACAGGAAACACTGGAAGCTGAGTTTGACACCTGCTGGTGAAGTACAGAACTGCATGGATATGCTGGAGCAGGCTTTAGAGCTCAAGTTTCACAGGGTTGAGGAGAAAAAGATTGCACATATAGCCACAAAACAGAGTTATTAAGAATATCTATTCTTCCATTTGAGGATAATATATTCCATAAGACCCCTGATTTGCATGTTTTCTTCTACCATGAACAATTTATGGATAAAAGGAAACCATATGAAGCAATCATTCAAATCTCTCTGACTTGAGGAAATGAAACCACTTGGTTTTAAGGACATTGAAGCCTTTATAGACTAATGTCCCTTCAGTTAACAGACTGCCTGCCACATTTTTCCTTCATTTTGAATTCATTCTTATTCAGAGGAGGTCTATTGACTCCGTGTTCCAATAAAGAAGACAGTTTCAGGTCCCTGAAAGTCTGAGGCGGCTCGCTGACAGCAGCAAGAACCTGGAGGTGAGAACATGATGGAGGTAGATCATCACATTACTTCAGCCAAGTAAACAAAATATGCCGAAGCGAGAGCCAACTGGGCACTTTTGCTGTTAGAGAGAGAAGCAATTGCAGTTATTGACGTCATCTATCTTCAGACAAAGAACAGGAAGAGCAGAGGGAAATGAAGTGTGGGCAGGGATGTGGATATGAGGATTCCTGCACCTCAACTGGATCTGAATGAATACATTTTTTTTTTTCACCAATTCTCATGAATATGTATACCAGTGTGTCTATGTTACGTTAGGTGCATTTTCTTAAAATTCAAACACAGAACTATATCAAATGTATTTTTTTGTTCAAAGTCCTATTTCCAATAGTATAAGAAGCAGTTCTACCTTTGAGATTAATACCGACTGCTGTTCAGCAGCCTCACTGTACCAAAGCGGAGCCATAAAACAGCACCGTAAAATACGACCATCTAAGTTATGCATTTTTTTTTATATTGTTAAAAAAAACAAAAATCTTAAATGGATGCTGCTTTGACCTCTAGCTCACTTTATTCATCATTGAGCGTTTACTGACTTAAAACTGAGGACACTGACTGCTATTCACCTGTTTGTCTCTTTTGTTGGGTGTTTTCCAACTTGATGTGGTTGGTTGTCGCATTTTTTGTTCTCTTGCCAGACTTTCAATGGTTCTCATCTTTTTGGTCTGAAAGCAAAATGAATCCCTGCAAGAGCAGGGATTAATGATGATTTGAATCCAGATTCTTCTTCCATCTAATTTTTTTTTTTTTTTTCAATAAATCTCACTCTACATACCGACCAAGAGACTGGGATTTCTCTCTTCCTGTAAGTCTATGGATAAATGTTCAAAATTTGGCTAAAATCCTTTAAATTTGTTATTTTTGCATTGCATTGGCATATTTGGACTGATGGAACACAAAGAATGTTAAATATCAAACTAAATCAAAAACCCTACCCAGTTATGCACATCTATCAAATCAATAAGTGCATGTGGTGATAAAAATAATCAGGATTATTGCAATTTGCAAACAAAACAGCCTCAAAACAGCAAATTACATAATTAATCAAGATGGTAAAGAAACTGTGCAGAACGGCAAAATTCCTCAAAGGATCCTACAAGACATGAGTTTCTGAAAATCATTTTTAAACAGTAAACGTCAACATATTTAACTATGTATACCAAAGATAGCCACAAGAGGGCGGGCTTGGCTTAGTATATGAAAAATTATTTGCAAATTGACGATACAAAAAGAATAAATTACTGTGGAAAGATAAAAAAAATATATATATATATTAGGCAAGTACTCACTTGCTCCAGGTAATAGAATACAGAAATAGAAATAAAACAGAAAATATGAATATATTCAAAGTTTGACAGTTATAATCTGGTGGAAGATTTTTTTTTTTTAGCTGCTCATTTTTGTTTTTTCAATCAATAGATTAGTCCACTGGAAAAGAACTGAAGTACATCATAGGCATGTTGTGTGGCACTGTTTTTGTTGATAAGCGGTAGCAGCTGATTAGATTAAGGTTTTCCTTGCTGGTTGTCAATGTTTTAGGAATTTGTGGTGCACAACCGAGTGACTGTGTTGTCTTAAACTGTCCGTACAAACAGACAGAAACACGGAACAGCAAGTTCTCACCACGCAGATCAATAAACCTGATAATAACTCAATCCTGCCAACTGGCATTGATTAATGTGCTGGCAGACATGCAGGTCGAGATTGCTGTGAGATAGATGAAAAACCACTTATCTGTGCCCTTGTTTTCTTCAGTAATACAACTACAGGATCAAAATGTATTCACATGATAGAACCCAAGTGAGAATAGAGTGGGCTTGCAAACCTATAGCGGGGGTTAGTTTGTTTTGGACACCAGATTAAATGTCAAAGATTAGTTAGTGTTAAATTTCATGTAGCAACGGCATCACTCGTAGCTCTCTTGCATCAGAACATGTCCGAAGAGATGAGTTTGATTTTCTGAAAGGCTGAACTGCTGTGATGTTTTTAAAATACCCAACAGTATAAAATTCCCACAGACTCTAACAATGTGGCACAAGAATTAAAAAGGAAAAACAACAATCACATTATGATTTACATCTACATTTGCTGAATCTTAAAATGTTTTTTTGTCAACTCCTGTTGAAACTTTCAACATTTTTGCATATACAAATAGTTTTTGTGCATGAAAACTTTTAATTCGCAATAAACGCTAGTGCTTCCTGTTTGCACTACAGACCTCGTTTGTATGAATTATCCCGGAAAATAATTTCAAGACAAACAAAGTTGAATAAACATTGGCTTTTCAGCCAATACTTGATATTCATTATGCATAGAGGCCCAGATTCCTTTTGTAGAGAATCAATATTTGCATCATGTTTGAGTCATTAAACAAGAGACAAGACCTGATTGGTTGTTTACAGCTCTAATGTTGCAGGGAGGTAAATAAAGTTTCTCATCTTGCAATCATCTCCATCCCTTCTTCACACCCCCGTAGGGCTTCAAACTCATTTCGGCAGAATAAGAGGGCCAGCGACATGTGCCAAGAGGAAGAGCGGGATTTCCACGAATTAGGACAAACAGATGAATTAAACATCAGGACACTGTCGGATTCTGAATCTCTTCGCGAGTTTGAAAATAAAAGAAAAGAAACTAAATGGAGACGCATCAGACAAGGAGCGATCTGTGTTAAAGGCTGGCAGAGTTTGGAGCACAGAGATACTTGGTCATAACAGGAAATGTGCAAGCGGAGTTGATGTTCCTAAAATTACAGATTTTGGTGACATAAATGAGATCATAATATAAATTGTTACAAAACCTTCCCCTGGTATAACGTGACAATTGTCACAATTTCACTTAGCAGGTGGGGAAAAAAATTGCAATAACCCAGTTACATAAGTACCTACTACTACTTTTAAATTCAGTTTTTTAGCATTGAGTCTTTAAGTATCAGATTCTCATATTTATGACAATATTAACCAACCTTGCACAAGATCTGTACTTTTGTCAAAATATGAGAGCAGTTTCTTCACAGCATTCTGTAG